AAGTATCTAACACTTGCCTCGACCGAATTTTTAGGTTTTTCTAATCCATTATATCATGTTCATTTAACATTGGTTACTCATGTGCATGCATTATTGTGATATATAGTTGCATGAATTATTTATTGATTTTCTATGTGATTTATTATAGCACTTAGACCCTATTTTTCCAACAAAAACTGCTACACTTGGTGGTGCTCATTGGCTTGTTAGTTTTATTGATGATTGCACACGTATGACTTAGGTTTGTTTAATGAAGTCCAAAAGTGAAGTTACTTCTTTGTTCAACAATTTTACAAAAATGGTACAAGTACAATATAACTCACGAATACAAGTTCTCAAGAGTGACAATGGTGGCGAATACGTAAACTCTGAACTTCGTGCCTTTCTTGATCATCATGATATTATTCATCAGACTACATGTTTACACACTCCATAACAAAATGAGGTTGTAGAATGCAAGAACTGTCAACTTCTAGAGGTTGTTCGTGCTTATTTGCTCGAGGCACGTCTTCCATTATCCTTTTGGGGAGAAGATCTCACCTCAGCTGCGTATCTCATTAATCGTGTTCCATCCCATTCAGTCAAATTTCAAACGTCCTTGCAGACTTTCTCCTCATACATTGATGTTCCTTTAGTTCCCAATCCTCCACCTCACATGTTTAGTTATATGGCCTTCGTTCATTTCCATAAATAGCAGAGAAGTAAGCTTGAACCTTGGGCCTTATGATGTGTGTTTGTAGGGTATTCCTCAAATAAAAAAAGGGTCTCGTTGTTATCACCCTTCAACGAAAAAGTTGTTTGTCACTGTGGATGTTGTCTTTCATGAGACTGATATGTACTCTGCCAATCCAGAGTCTTCACTTTAGGGGGAGAATCAGATAGAAGTTCAAATTCTTATTTATATTATTCCATATATAGATAGTGTGAATGATTTGGATTTTAGTGGTGATGTCTTAGACATAAGCGGTGATCATTCAAACGAAAACAATGATGTGAATGAATTGAAACTAAGTGGCAATGTCTTGGAGACAAGTGGTGATCATTCACATAGAAACAATGTTGAAAACCTTGAAAGGGACGAGTTGACATCGCTAGATAACTCATTGCCATCTTCCGCACCACCAGACAGCCTTGTGTTACCAACTACCTCACAATCGATCTTGTCACCCTTGAGTCCCAATAGCCAAAATCAATCGCCTTCGATCCCGGATGCACCATTACCACGTCGTCTCCTTAACTATGTTAACCGAGGTATTCCTAAACTTACATATGAAGCTGACCCTAAATGAAAAACTAGGTATTTGGTGCATAAGCCCAACCTTGAATCTAATGTGTTATACCCGTTAAGTAATTATGTGTCTACCAATCACCTGTCAGAATCAAATAAGTCATTTGTGTATCAATTATCTACTGTATATATTCCTAACAATGTGCAGGATGTTTTAGCTAATCCACGTTGACAAGCAGCAATGAATGAATAATTGAAGTCTTTGAAGAAGAATGCTATTTAAGAGATCACAGACTTGCCAGCTAGTAAGAAACCTGTGGGATGCAAATGGGTCTATACAATGAAGTAGAAAGCTGATGAAACAGTGGATCGTTTCAAGGCAGGACTAATGGCAAAAGGATACACTCAAAAATATGGAATTAACTATACATATACATTTCCTCTGTGGCCAGGATTAATACAATCCGTGTTTTTGTTGACCTTGGTTGCAAATCTTAATTAGCCCTTATAGTAGTTCGCTGTGAAGAATGTCTTATTACATCAAGATTCGACAAAAAAGTTACATGGAACTCTCACCAGGGAGTAACGTTCCACATATGCACAGACAAAAGGTGTTCAAGCTTCGAAAATCATTATATAAGTTGAAGTAGTCCCCAAGACCGTGGTTTGGGAGATTTACTAAGTCTATGAGAGCATTTGGATATAAGCAAAGTAATTATGATCACATGTTGTTCTTGAAACGTCGGAATGGGAAGCTTACAACACTTATTGTATATGTGGATGACATGGTAGTTATCGGTAATGATCTGGATGAGCATGCAGCCTTACAAAAATATTTATCTACAAAATTCGAGTGAAAAATCTTGGGTCTTTGAAATTTTTTCTTAAGATTGAGGTATCAAAGAGCAAGTCAGGAATCTTCCTGTCATAGAGAAAGTATATCCTTGACTTGTTAAAAGAAATTGGCATGTCGGCATGTAAATGAAGATGTTGACATGTCAGCATATAGTGTCTTCATTGAATATTTCTACTAATCTTCCTGTCACAGAGAAAGTATATCATTGGCCTATTCAAGAATCTTCCCACTAACCGCCATTTTCTCCATTGCTAATATTACTTTCTCCATTAAGCGTCTTCACTGAATATTTCTACTAAATTTTTTAGGTTGAAAAGGATGACAAGAATATTAGTGGTCAATTGTATTCCAGTTTAATTAGAGGAGGAACAGATAAACTCATTCCACATTTTCTTTCGTTTTTAGTTAGGCATCTATTGGTATTTTGCACAAATTTTATTATTATTTGTGTTTGATGATTGTGGCGTTTCAGACAAAGGTATATCCCAAACTAATAATTTTGTTTGGTTTTTTCTTCCTCTTTCACTTCTTTTCTTTTGATTCCTCGTTTATATATTCTGTGTTTTCTTATGACAATTGTGAACCTTTCCTTTTTGAATTTGTATGCTTTATGAGCCATCATTTAATCAACTACATATATATATATATATATATATATATATATATCTTATAGCTAGCTACAACCGTAGGTTGATTGCAGGTACTAATATTTCTTGTAGATGCTACATATGCTAATAGACGCTAGTCATTGATCAAGTAGATGCTTTTTACCTGCTTGCTATACAATTTGATTTATATTGTATGATTGATTTAATTACTTTTTTTTATATAACGAGTGATGTGATTTCGACTATATGTGATTTCAAAACATAATTATTATGTTTAAATGATTTTTTACTAGATAAACTTGATCCACTCACACTTCATTTTTCGACTGCTTAGTACATAGTGAGAACAAGGATACTTGGGAATTCATTGATAGTTATTTTGCCAGGTTCTAAGGTTGAGCTACTTTTCTTTTTGTCGATCAAGCCACTTTCCCTCATTCCACTTGTCTAGCCTTCTTCATGAACTTGTACAATAGACACCACAAAGATAACAAACTCTATTATTGAAGAAATAACAAAATGGGCAACGGTTTGGCACCGGATATCCGACGGTGTAGAAAGAGCAACTGTGAAAAGAAGAAAAACCATAAAAAAATTGACGATTGTTCGTGAAGGTTTCCATAGAAAGACCCTTTAGTTCTGGCAAACGGATCACAATTACAGGTACCTGGGAGCATACCGATGGAATGAACGAAATACGAACAGTTAACATAATATGGTCATAGATCTTAGGTTGTAACTTGATCATGAGCGAATTTGTTGATGTTGCACCCACGAAGTATGGAAAGTGCCAAACATTGGGAACTACCCGGGGAGGAGTTAGGAACAGGAACAAGGAGAAGCGAGAACCACTTAAATAGAGGAATCGATTGTATTTCGTCCTTTGTTCTCCATAGCAACTGGGGATCAAAAAGCACCAAATTTGATGACTTATTAAGGGAAAGACGAAATAAGAGCATGTTATTGAAGGCGTTGCAACATATATCAAGAAGGCCTCCATTGATTGTGTACAAACAAAATATCAGTCCAAGGGCAGGGTAAGAAAGGGTTTAGCTAATGGAGATATTAACTTTTCCGGTGGAAAGGATTGGGCCTACCTATCCTAACAAGATCTTCTAAAAGAACGGGAGCTGTTGAGAGGTTCCATATTGCCGAGCCGAAGGGCAGCACTTCTGTACGTGATCGTAGTATGTCACGTCGTCTCGTCCCCGCAGCATTGAAGAGTACTTGTGCACTATTTTCAGTTCACTGATAAGGAAGATAGAGTTGGGGTGGGGACCTATGATGCGATACTTAGGTATAACCTGAGGAGATACATGCTAACTATGGGTAGGAAGCAGGAACCATTATGTAAATAATTTAAGGGAGTTACGGATCTCTTATACTACCATCGATCAACACTTTCAAATGTCATTTCTTCTCGTCACATTCGTCTTCAGGATGATCTAGTCATAGGGTCAGTGAGCGAAAGATTTGTCCTTGGGTGTACGTTGAAAGCTTATAGTAGAACTTATTGGAGATGGCTTGGTGGTCTTGAGAATGGTTCTGGTGGGGGTTTCCCTTAGTAATAACGAAGATTAATATAATCAAATTCATGTTCATGCTAATAGCAAAGTGGATCCAATACTAGAAGAAGCGACTTCCTTCTCAGGAAGTGCAGAAAAATCAAAAGGATTGAACTACCTATTCATTATTCAGAAGTGAATCATAGAACACTAAAAGTTGTGGTATCTTATGGACCTAACATAGGTCACATCCCTGACGACATAAGATTGAAAGATCTAAACCTTCCTATTTGAAGCAGAAACAAATGGCGTGTTCCTGTTGAACTAGACACATGTTAGTTGTAGGAGTATGGTTTCAAAAGTGACTTCAGTTTGCCATTCAGGCTAAACTCTTCGGCTTTATGTTAGCAAACCTGCAGGTCGGGCCGGGGCTCGTGCTATTTCTTTCTATGTGGGAATCCCTTTTTATTTACACTTTTTGGTTTTTCCAAAAATCATTAGTGTAGCATGTAGGTGGATGAACCCTTCTAACATGAGATCCAACGAAACACAGTTAAATCTACTGAAAATGAGGGTCATCCCCTTCCCCTTTCTACGATCATAAAACCCCTGGATCACTTTCTTTGTCTTTTATCCCTTCTGAACAGAATAAGTAAGGCCCCATCCTTTCTAAAAAAAAGGGGCAGGGGGAAAGCGCCGGTTTGAAGTGGTGAAGGCCTATGCTAAAGTAAGAAAGAAAGTACGTTAAGGTTACAAAGTCTGGGAGTGACAAGTAGGCTTAGCAGTGAGGTTTTCACTCACAGACTTGGTGATGGTCCCTTTATTGCAATATTATCTAGTTTGTAATATTCGCGTAATCATACTTTTGATTATGCACTGCATTACACTTTATTGTGTTAACTACTTTATGCTCTGGATTGAATTGATAATAATGAGATTGTATCCCTGAACATGTATCCCTAAGTAGGGAGGTTGATTAGGACTTGCCTTTAGATGACTTTGATTACTAATAAAGAACGTTTTGGTTCAAATTCATTCACATCATTATTATCTTACGATGGCTTTCGTCATTAAGTTGGCTTTGTAACGTCATCTTATGATGGGGGTTATATTGTATGATTAGTGGTGGTCAGCACATTACGACCTCGTAACTTGTGATTATTGGGGTCAGGGTGTGTCAGCGAGGAATTCTTGTGTTTGGGATGGCTCCTCTAACTTACAAGAGCTTCTGCATGGAATTTTGAGTTGGGACACCAATTTCCAGTGAATGTCGTTAGGTAGTCTTCTAAATAGCCCCACAATCCAAGTACTTAAGACCGATAAACAATTAAAATTGAATTTCGATGCTGCTACTAAACTTGCAAATGGTAATGCTCATGGTTTAGCTACTAGTGTGGATGAGATTAAACTACACTAAACAGCCGCACATTTCTTTCATTTCCAATGATTTAGTTTGTTTTGAGAATCCTCCTAATATCATACATAATCTTTTCTTTCACGACCCCAGTTGTGAAATGTGGTTGTATTTGACTCGAATAAAAATTTATATCAAAGAAACCTTTAAATGATATAAAATCACTAATTAATGTGACAATTTATAATCACTCGTCTTATTGAATCAAATATTATAACCGTCACATTTTGAGTGCGGCCAAAAACAAATAAAACAATACGAACTTGCAATATCGAGTCGGGAGCATAGGTGGAAAGTGTTAGCGAACGACATTTATAACATGCCGTTCAGGAAGCTCAGGGAAGAAACGCAACGCACCAGTCCGTCTCCCGTTTTTGATAAACGGGACACCCGTCTCGAGAAGCGTTGAAAACCCAAACGGACCACAAGCCCCCCCCCGTTCGCCCCATACGAGCGTGAACCCACTCACCAACTCCTGGAGTGCTCGAAGCACTCTCCCAACACACGCGCGCCGCATGAGCGCGTGGTAAATACCGAAACCTGAAGGGCTCCTGGGCGCAACGTCGTTTGAAGCAGAGTGAGGGCGTCCCTGTTTATCAAAAAACAAAGTGGGCGTCCCGATCCTTTCTTTAACCTTCAAAATTTTCCCTCACTTTCCATTTCTGGGATCAAAATCTCTAATTTTACTTTCAAATATATGGGATTTAGTTTTTCCATTTACAGGAAGGTAATTTAATTAGTTTAGAGAAATTAACAATTAATTAATTTATTGCCTCAAAAATATAATTTCCATGAAAGCATTTGTTTAATTCCTTGTATATGTTATTTCTATATTTGGGATTGATTTCCTTTGAAATTTGATTGTGGGTAAATATTTTTTTCTGTGGAGAATTTGTTTTCCAGGTATGTTTGTGCTGGAGGTGAAATTTTTGGGTCTGTAAGTGCAAGTTTTCACTGACCTAGGAATTTGCTGGCTGGGATTTCCAATCAGGTAAACCTTCAAATTTTACTGGTTTGATTATCTCATTTTATTTCTGTTTATTTTGGGTTACTTGTGTGTATAATGATGATTTATTTGATTGTTGTGTGTAGTTTTTTGTTTTTGTTAATTTGTGATGGAAATGATTGCTGATTATAGGGAGGCATTTGTGTTTCCAAGAGTGTCACTGTTAGACTACTTTTTCGTTTTGACAGAGCGTTTTTCTAAGCTACTTTTATCAAGGGGAGGGGGAAAAACTCGGGAGTAAAGGGGCGGACACACTGCTCTGGCCAACTGGCCTAGCCCGCATTTGTGAGTGTCACTCTTACTTTGCAAAATCGATGACCAGCTGAGTAGTTGTCAAATTTTAGGGTAGATTTCCGAGTTAAGATGAAATAAAAAAGAAACTAGATTATGAGCGACACTGGCGATAGACAAGTAGTTTTGACCAATCATTTCCCCTGCCACGGTTACTTTCTAGAATCTGAGAAACTGTATTGGCTGCGCTTGAGTTTTCAAACTCTTTGTGGCATGTCAATGTAATCGTGATCTGATGTGTGAGAATACACACGTTTGTCACTATGGTTGATACAAGTGATGCTATTGCATTGGAGGACTTCACATTTTGTTTGGAGTCTAATCGAGATGAAAACTTCACAGAGGAAAAACCTGCATTCTGGCTGTCATTGATTGCTTGGCATTATTAAGTATTCTTAGCGAGCTTATGTTTTTGTCCCCTTTTTTGGGCAACCACGTTGTGTCTCTATATTTGGAACAGTTTATTTGAATCAAAATGTGTACAGTTTATTTGAATCAAAATGTGTGCAAAAGTGTTATTGACAAAAAAAAATTGTTTTATTTGTAATACGTGTTAGTGAAGAAGCATATATCGCTTGTTGTTGCTAATGTTTTTATTTCTTGTTAAACTCCCTATGTTCTGTGTGCATGAAAATACATCCTAGAAGAGAAATATGCTTATTTAACGTGGGGAGTGATTTCCACACTCCTTGTTTCACCTTCTGCACTCCTCCCCTTAATGGCTAAAAAGGAGAGAGGGGAGTGTAGTAGGTGAAAAGGGAGCGCAAAAATCACTTGCCTTTGATCTTTGCAAATATTGGATTAAGCTTGTTGTAGTCATGTTCTTCTTCTTGTATTTTCCATGTGCGACCAGTGCAAAATATAAGATTTTTTATTCTTGGTATAGAATAACAATTGAACTTGATTTGACTGTCCGTATTCTACATAACGCGTGGCTCAGTATGTATGGACTTAAAAAAAAAGTTTCAGGATTTGTTGCATGGGCTGCACTGTATGTTGTTACCGTATGGCTAAATAATGCAAATTTGAAATGTGCTTTCACATGTTTATGTGAGCCAAAATTCATTTTCCATGGTAGTAAAGCATAAAAGAGATTCAAACTCGGCAGGTTTGGAAAACATAAGTTTCTTGCTTAATTTGTCTATGGACTTGTTGACTGTGAAAGCCTTGGGACTTCATTTTGAAAATGTTTTGTCTCTTTCTTTTCTCCCCTCCGAGGGATTTCTCTTATATGTTGTGTTGTGTGGTCTTCCTGTGCTGTTCGCATACTTTTGGAAAGTAAAGTTTCTATATCTTATTTTATATCATACAATAGCATATTTATATTCTGTTTCCCTACCATCTTTTTCCTTCTGCCACCAGTAATGGAAACTCAGAGTCAAACTGAGGTTACCAGGCAGAACAAGATGCTTCCTCCACAACCTGGAACATTTGAAGATCGTGAAGACCTCGTCAAATATGTTCGTGATTTTGGTGCGAGTCAAGGATATGTGGTGACCATCAAGAAATCGAGGAAAGACAGAAGAGTCATACTTGGTTGTGATAGAGGAGGTGTTTATCGCAATAGGCGTAAAATTGATGAAAGCAAGCGAAAAAGGAAAGCAAGTTCTCGCCTTATAAATTGTCCTTTTGAAGCCATTGGGAAAAAGGAAGATGATTTATGGGTACTTACTGTTAAAAATGGGGAACACAACCATGAAGCGTTGAAGGACATGTCAGAGCATCCTTATAGTCGTCGTTTTACTGAGGATGAGGTCAGGCAAATCAAGCAAATGACTGAAGCTGGTGTAAAACCACGCCAAGTTCTTAAGGCCCTCAAGCAAATCAATCCTGAACTGCAGTCAACACCAAGGCATTTGTATAACCTCAAAGCCAAGATACGTCAGGGAAATCTATCAGGTTCGTCATGTTCCCAAGATTTTAGGAAATGTTTTTCAAATAGGGCTAAGTTGCTAGAAAGAAAAACCTGTACCATTCCACAGTGTGTTGGAGGGTAGTTCCATCCTTGTGTGTCACTTTTATTAGGTTCTTCAATTCATTCATGGTTAGTATTGGGGTTTGAGGCGGACTTCTTTGCAGGTAAACGGAAATTTTTTTTGAGATAAAAAGTACATAGCTACTCATTGGAAACAAAGTCATTTTTCTAGTGGGATCTCTATTATAGTTTTTGATCGACCACTATGATCATGTAAGGGGTAGCTTTCACCACACTTTTGTAAGTGAAATATTAGTTCATAGCTACATCGGTTTAGATTCTAATATCACAATGTATGCTGTTTTTTTTTTTTTTTTTTTTTTTTTTTTTTTTTTTTTTTTTTTTTTTTTAAGAATTGGGTAACATATAATGATTCTTTTTGCAGAGCTTTGAAAAGTTGATGGACATGTGCATAGTGTACCATACTTAGATTTTGGCTAGAAAACTTTACATAGCAACTTTTGGATCTCTGGAAAAAAAAAAAAAAAAAAAAAAAAAAGGTAGAATAGATCAGAGAGTTTGTCAGTAGTCAAATAACTCACATATATATATTTTTAATTTATTTCATCAGAAAAAAGTTTCAAGTCATGGAGACCTGACCGATCTGCTCTGGTGAGTACAATTGCTACTGCCAGTGGGGAGTCGTTAAAGCAAAACAACCAACCGGTAAGGTTTGATCTTAAAGGTGGTGCCGTGGTGGAAGGCTGCTTTTCTGCTTGTGCTCTGTCTCTCTGTCTTTCTTTGAATGAGTTGGGTATTACAAACTTATTTTAGCTTCACTTGTAGCTGAAGGTTCCAAATTTTATTGGAGGGAAGTTCATTGATTCACAAGGGTGTTCAGTCATTGATGTTTTAAATCCAGTAAGCTCACAAAGTTCAATCAATTATCATCTTATTTTCTTTTTGACAGACACATTTATCACTGGTGTTACTAATTTCATGTTTGATTTCTGAATTAGGCAACACAAGAGGTTGTTTCTCATGTTCCTTTAACTACCTATGAAGAGTTCAAAGCTGCAGTTAGTTCAGCCAAGCAGGCTTTCCCATCATGGAAAAACACTCCTATTACCACTCGTCAGCGTATCATGTTTAAGCTTCAGGAGCTCATCCGGAGAGATATTGTCAGTTATTGGACTCTCATGAACTCATAATTTTACTATACGATTTTTATTCTCAAGTTATAAATCTCAATCTGGACAACACATCATTACTCTTTCCAGGACAAGCTTGCCATGAATATCACCATAGAACAGGGTAAGACATTGAAGGGAGCCGAGAGCGATGTTCTCCGTGGCTTAGGTCAGTCTTCGTACGTGTCTCATTGCCATTTCTGTTATTTTTATGACCAGTGTTACAAAAAGTGGGGTGTTTTCCTTTCTTTTACTTTTAGAGGTCGTTGAACATGCTTGTGGAATGGCAACTCTACAAATTGGGGAGTTTGTTCCTAATGCGTCCAATGGCATTGACACATACTGCATTAGGGAACCGCTAGGTGTTTGTGCTGGGATATGCCCCTTCAACTTTCCAGCAATGATTCCCTTGTGGGTATGGCGCATTACCTCTCAGTTTTTTTCTTTGGTGGTTTGTTTTCCACATTTTTTAATTTTATTTAGTGCTGGAACAGGTGACAGTTTATTTGATTTTGCTTCCTTTTAAGCTTATGTTGATGCGATTAACTCTTGCATTTCTTTATTCTTTAAACTAAATACATTAGACCAAAAAATTTATTATGGTGACATGATTATCCTTAAACCTCCCCTTGGTATCTTTTTTGTGCATTCTATTTTATGCCAGATTGGTTAGTTTTTCTTGTTAATGTCATAACTGCTTTCTTTTGGTACTTTAAAGCCTCATTTGTTGGAGAGGATTGGCTTGGATAGGACTACTCACTATGTTGAAGGCATTTTGAAGGAAGAAATGGATGACAACTAATTCATTTTGTCAAAGTTGAAGGTTACTCACAAACAAAAGATCCTTACCAACCCCCACAAAAATGGTAGGATTAGAAAGGACAACTTTTCCTCATGCATAACCTTCAACTTGGAAAAAATAAGGAAGTGTCGTCAATTTCTTCCTTAAAAATGCCTTCAATATAGTGAATAGTCCTACCCAATCCAATCCTCTTTAACAAACGAGGCCTAAGATGAGAGTTTCCTGTGAGTAATGTTGCTTCATTGTTGCAGATGTTTCCAATAGCAGTTACATGTGGCAATACATTTGTTCTTAAGCCATGTGAGAAAAATCCAGGTGATTTTTTGTCCTTCAAATCTGTTGTAGTGATGTTTGTGAAGTGATAATTTGTGACATGGAAGCTGTTATATGCTAAGACTTGTATCAATGTTGAATTGATTTCCTTTATGTATCTTCATGGAAATGAAATCTTATGTTTTCATTTTCCCTCTATTGTCCCCATATTGATAAATTGAAATGGTTGATATTGTTTTTGTTTAAGGGGCATCAATGATACTTGCAGCACTTGCAAAGGAGGCTGGTTTGCCTGATGGTGTCTTAAATATTGTTCATGGCACCCATGTAAGTTTTGTTTATGAGGGTGTCCCATGTATTTGCACGTATTTTCCAGTGTTCTAACCTCCTGTGTTTTAAGTAGAAAAATGAAATAAATATTAATATATAGTTGTACCAATAGAAATTGTATAACATTGTTTTTTTAAACATGTGTTACTAACAAAGGTGTGGATCTTTTAGGTTATGTTGTATCCCTTTTGATTGAGTTGTGGTTAGCAATTAAAGGTCAAATGTGTTAGCTGTTGGTCACTCCCATCGTACCTTATGTCTATTTGAATAGTTATGTGCTGTAGACGAATTAGTAATGAAAAAGTGAAACCTGGGGTAGGTTTCTAATTAATCATCGGTACATTTTCTGTCTTAAGTTCACTGACAAATTTCTTTTGCTTGAAAATCAATGTGAGCAGGATACTATTAATTATATCTGTGATGATGATGACATAAAAGCTGTATCACTTGTTGGCCCAAATACAGTAAGCTTCTTTCAGTACAGTGCTTCATGATTATTTACATGTCTGTGATGCCTGAAGATTTGATCTAAAGTTCAAACTTACTCAACACATCAGCACAGACACATATAACCTTGTCGGGGTTCGCTACATATATTCACATGGAGAAAAACTCAAATTCATTGAACTTGAATTTACTTTTGTGATTTTCCTTTGGATTTATCTTTTAGTTTAATAGAGCAAAGAACTTTATGCTAGGTTCCCAGGGAAAGAAGCAATAGGGCCAACGTGTGGAAGATGATAATTGAATGTAAATAATGGCCCAAGGAAAATTTCTAAATCTGATTATATATTTGCCCACTAAAACACGTAAAACTCATTGCCTTCTTTGGAATGAGTAAGAGCTTTACTGGTTCACTGACTTTAATAAACCCTTTTTAGCTGAAATCTTACGTTTCCATGCAATTTGGAGATTTAGTAGGATATCAATTTTTTCCTCTCATAGGTTGTCATATCACTTATGTTTAACTTCAGACTTCAAGTACTGTGATGGCGTATGCCATTATACTCTATTTGTTTAATTTCCCCTTTCTCTCTCTTGTAAAGGCTGGGATGCACATACATGCAAGGGCAGTTGCTGGGGGAAAACGTGTTCAGGTGAATACTTGCAGTCTGAATGTTCTTTTCCTCTCTCTCTCTCTCTCTCTCTTTATGACACACACACACGCACGCACGCATAGTTGCGCCCACACACACGTATCCGCCACAATTTTCTTTCTAACTTGGTATTCTGTCAACTCCTTAGTCCAGTATTGGGGGAAAAAATCATGCAATAATCATGCCCGATGCTAGCATGGATGCTACCTTGAATTCTCTGGTTACTGCTGGCTTTGGTGCTGCAGGACAAAGGTGTATGGCTCTCAACACAGCTGTTTTTATTGGAGGCTCCAGGCCATGGTAATGCATCTTCTTTGCTTGTTCTTATATCATTTCTTACCTTTTCTTTTGATATTTGTCCATCTACCAAGTTGACTACTTCTAGTAGTAGTAGTTAGATGCCTACAATTGGAATAAGAGTGCCAAATGAAGAATGCCACATTTTAAAACATGGGTAGTGTAGGGTTGAGATAATTTCCTTTTATTCTAGATGTTCTACTCTTTAATTTGTATGTTATTATGTGAACAATAAATTTGTCTATTTATCATAAAAACTTAACAATATAATAATATGCGTATTGGCTTTTTTAAGGTAAAAAAGGTAGTAAGTTATTTTTCAACTAAACTGGGCAGTCTATTTATATTTCTCAGGGAAGGCGAACTTGTGGATCGTGCCAAAGCCCTTAAAGTGAATGTTGGAACAGAACCTAGTGCAGACCTTGGTCCAGTTATTACAAAAGAGGTGAATACATCTTTCTGCATTATGTGCCAGTTTTTTTTATAATAAAAGAATTAAACTGGAAACCTGAGTTTCTGTGTATTGTAATTTGTAAGCAGCTAGCTTTCGGCTTGAGTGGATTTTTCTACTTCAAGAGATTGGTGCCTTTTTATCGCTTCTACCTTTTTCTTCATTTCTTTGCCTTCTCTAAAATTACTTCAGCCCTAAACCTTCCATGCTCACTAAAAGACATTTCTTCAGATTTCTATCATGCCCACCATAACTATATTTCAACATCACCCCTGATGTCCTGCATCAACTGGCCTCCTTTTTAAGCACTTTAGGGATGTTCCTTTTAGAGTAGTTCGCCTTGATTTGGCTTGAGTTCTGTATTTGAGTGTGGCTTTGCTTGTTTTGCAGTTATGTTTTTTTCATTTATGAAAATATAAAATAAGTTTTGACAACAATCTTTGAAATCTCTCACGGAAGCATGTTATATAACATGTTTAGATGATACGCTTAATGTGGTATTATTTAGCTTTTTACATGCCATCTAAATTCACAGGTGAAGGATTCAATTTGCAGATTAGTTCAGACCAGTGTCGAAAGCGGCACTAGACTTATTCTTGATGGGAGGAATGTTACGGTACTTATTTGGTCTCATCATTTTAAGATGAGATATATCAACTTTTGCTATTAGACTTATTTACTTGGTTTTTGGAAAACTTGTATGACTAAGGAGCTTACTTTCTATAAACATTCTCTAAATTGCCCAAACTCAACTTTGTAGGTTCCTGGATATGAGAATGGAAATTTTATTGGTCCTACGATCTTATGTGATGTTACAACCAACATGGATTGCTTTAAGGTAATCTTTTCGTGTTCCCAGTTCTTGTATGTTCTGAGAACGAATAGACTTGGTTAATTACAATTCTCAGAGAAAGAAGAGTTGAACCAAAGACATGGCATATTCTTGACCGCACCGTATCTTGTTTTGAGCAGGAAGAAATTTTTGGACCGGTTCTTCTTTGCATGCAGGTATTCTCTCTCTCTCTCTCTCTCTCTCTCCCTCTTCTACGCAGTCTTGTATTCGAGTGAAAGTTTTTTCTGCAAGTTGTAGATTGGTTACCAATCCTTCTGTTTTTGACGACCAACAGGCTGCCAGCCTAGAAGAGGCCATATCCATCGTAAACAGAAACAGGTACCTACCTGTTTTATGCTTTTAGCATATGTTCAAAGCAATTACGCTTCATGTATGCTTTCCTCCTCTCTCGCATTTCTAAAATTCATTTAGAAATGAAACTTTCTCACCCTTTGTTTCTGCATGCAACTTATGAGAAACATAGCACTCTTTGACAAGCTTTATATTACTATCTGACCATTCCTTAGGTTTGGTAATGGAGCTTCCATATTCACAACATCTGGCATCGCTGCAAGGAAGTTCCAGAATGAAGTTGAGGCGGGGCTGGTAAGCCAACTCGTTCTTCATCTTGTAGGGTTATGAGAACTTATGAGATGATGCTAAATTCGGTTGTGTGCTACAATTCTCCTTGGGGTAGATATAAAAATTTTTATGCCTGCATACATCTGGGATTTTTATGCATATTAATCAATGTAAAGGATGTTAGCTAGAAGGGGGGATGGAAAGTTTGAACTGAGAGAAGTTTGCTGGTTTAATAAACTATTTTTATAGAATCCTCATTAGAACGGGAGAAAGCTTGAACCCATAGAGCATGCTTTCATGGGGCTGACATTTTCTAATTTTATGGTATGTGACATGCATGTTGCTAACTGACACGAATTTGACATATCTCAGGTTGGAATCAACGTCCCTGTTCCGATTCCTTTACCATTTTCCTCATCTAATGGATCAAAGGCATCTTTTGGTAGCAATCTCAATTTTTCTGGTATAAACCCCTCCTCTGCCCAACCACCCCCTGTCTGTCTCTCTGAGGTTGAGGTTGGTTGAACCCTTTCTTTAACTACAGTTGCATTCAAAATTACAGGTAAGGCAGGTGTGCAGTTTTACACCCAGATCAAGACGGTTGCACAACAGTGGAAGGATTTACCTAGCCTGGAAGTGTCGCTGGGTCGGCCTCCATCATCTGAGACAGAGATGACAGGTAGAGGCATGTCTTCGGGTTTGCCTTCAACATCTGAGAGAGATTCACCTAGCCAAAGAGTGTCAGCAGACATGCACTCAGAATCCGAGAGTGATTCACCAAGCCATGGAGCTCCACTGCCGATCACTCCCACGTCTGAGGCAGATCGACCTAACCCAGGAGTCTCATCAGTGTCAACAACCTATAGGAATTTGTCTAGTCAGGGAATGCCCCTCGTCATCCCAGCAACGTCTGAGAGAGATCTATCCAGTGCAGATATCTCGCTGGCTCTGCTTCCAGAATCAGAAAGAGAAATACCAAGTCAAGTTGTGTCACTGAGACCTTCCCAGTCCTCAGAGAGGATGTATATGCCGCAAATGTCTCATTGGATGGAAACCTCAACATCTCAAAGGACTGAAAATTTGCCTCAGACTTCTCATTGGATGGAAACCTCAAGATCAACGGCTTTAAGGACTGAAAATTTGCCTCCAACTTCTCATTGGATGGAAACCTCAACCCCAACATCTCAAAGAACTGAAAATATTCCACCAAGTTCTGAGAGAAATCATGTGCCTACGTCTCAGAGGAATGGCAGCACGGCACTAACATCTCAAAGGATTGATACTACTATGGGATTGACTTCTGAGAGGGCATATGTGCCGACCTCTCATGACAACATGGTTCCAGTATCACACAGAAATGACGGGATAAGCCTCACATCTCAAAGGATTGACACAACCCTACATCCAACATCTGAGAGGGTATACATGCTGGCAGGATCTCACCTGAATGAGAACACCATTTTTTCAACATCCGAGAGGCTATACATGCCTGAAACATCTCATTGGCATGACCATATGGGTTCAACATCTCAGAGAACTGAAAGTGCTCTACATCCAAATTCAGAGAGGATATACATGTCAATAGCATCTCAAAGGAATGACGACTTGGCTGCAGCTTCTCACTGTGCTTCTGATGCTGTTCCATCCAGCTCAGAAAGATTATATACGTCTCCATTAGTTCAGAGAAATGCTGGTATACGATCAATTCCTGGTGCACCTCAGAGGATGTTTCCTCACAACTCGATAGCTTCAATGGATGAATTTCCCAGCCAAGGAGCATCACTGACTTTACCACCGTCTCAGAGGATATAGGATAGAATGTAGTGGTTTTTATTGTTTTACACGTTTTCCCTTAGGAATCGAATCTCACACTAATGCGAATAAGTGTTGCTTTTTCGGCTAAGAACTTTCTCTTCTATTTATGCTCAGGCTCCTCTTCATTTTAAAGTGAGAGTAAAGGCACTGGCGGCGGCCGTGGCCGCGCCCTGGAGGAGAAATAAAGGGTGAGCGCCGGGAATATTAAAGCAAAGAAACTATGAATCTGGGGTTGCTATCGTTGGAGTAGCACGACTAACTTTACCAAATCTTATTTACCAGGTTCACTGGCTGTTATAAGAAAAGTTTTAGTATTTTACGAGAATGAATGGCTAAGATTGAAACTAGATGATCTAAACAGTTCAAAAAATTAAATCTACTGGCTAAAACACCCGTAGCATTGTATGATACGTAGCATTGAAGTCATTTGATTAATGTTCAAGAAAAAAGTAGGAAGTTTTAACAAAACATTTTCGGTATAGTTCACTTTTAACGAAAAATCATATTTTTATCTTTTTTTGATATTATTCACTACATCTTGATTTGTTTTTTTATTTTTTTATTTTTTTTATATTAAAACTAGAGTTTTTTTATGAATTTTTTGTTAGTTTTCCTAAAAAAATAATCTGTTTTGAGGTATCTCATGTTTGGTTATATCCAGCTAAAAAGACAAACAAGGCTAAGTTGCACAAATTATCTAGGTAGTGTCGGTCACATGACAATGTTACTCGAGGTGAAAACAAAATACTTTTAATAATACTAATGTGGTAATATTTGTTATCAATCTATGTCCTTATCGAACTTTCCATTCAAATGTCCTTTAATTCGACTAATGAGTGCGTCACTTCAAAACAGTGAAAATAGTCCTTCCTCGAGTTTCTTTTAAATAAACACAAGGTTAAGTAAAATTCGAGAGTCCCTGCATACATTTGTGGTTAATCGCTTAATATTATAAAACACAGATCTCCGAAGTTGGCTCAAGTAGTGAGAGAGTAAGATAAATAAATTAGGATTAGTATAGGTTAGGAGTTCAAGTCCATCCAATCTAACTACAAAAATTATATTTTGTCCCCTCAAGTTTGTGTTCAATTGCAACCTCAAACATATTTAAAACATTTTAATATCTTATATTTAACTTATTAGTTTCTTTCAATGTCATACAATCGTCAATCAATCTAATATCTCAGTGGATAGAGTGTTGGTTTTCTACCAATGCGTCTGGCGTTCGAAACTCCTCATCCCTTAAATTATTATAATAGTCTCGAACTCTGTCTTCTAATATAATAAATTTAAAAATAAAAAAACGTTAAATTGGCCATTAAATGATGACGTGGCAAGCGTGGAGCCCACATTTTGCTGATGGAGTGACGTGGATTGATTTGATTCGTCGAAGAAGGGAAATTCGTCAAGGGCATTGAAGAAGACATCGTCATTTTCGTCTTCATTGTTTGGGGTGGGAGGTTCTAAAACTTCCATCTCTTGATCTCGCAATGGAATTCTATTTTTGGACCACGATTTGCACCCTCTTCTTGATCTCGCAATCGAAGGTGATGCTTGTGACGGGAAACGAAGTTGCGGTTATGCTTACGCAGAGCAAAATTATGGATTCTGCTCTTTGAGTGGAGGTTGAGAGATTCGGTGAGTGAAATGGGTATGTGATGATTTTGGTGGTTAGGGGGAACAAGAAGGAGAGAGCGAGGAGGAACAACCCCAAAAATTAACCACGTGGTACAAATTTATACTCCAAATCAGCAAAATGTGGGCTCTGTGCTTGTCACCCCATCACTAAACGACCAATTGAATGGATTAATTAATGGTTGTATGAACATCGAAATGAAATAACAAATAAATATATCAGATTAAAATGTTTTATGAGATAACAATTGAATATAAAACCGGATGGGCAAATAATTTACCCTAAAAAAGTGTCTGGAAAAGTAAATCATGTTGTAAAATTGAGGATATGTGTGCAGTGGAACATAAAGTAAATAAGACACAATATTTACGAGGTTCAACAAGTGTGCCTATGTCCTCGGGGCAACAATAATACTTTCTTTCATTATCTGAAATAATAGGAGTATAATGATAACTCTCACTATTTTCTCCTCTCTTTCTAGCCCAGCTCACTAGTAATTTCTTCCACATCTCTCTTCTTTCCTCTTCTCTTCTCTCTATCTTTGATATTGAATTGTGTGTTTACAATGAACGAATGAACCTCCTTTTATAGAGGTTTTAATTTGACAGAATAATGTAGCAACACTATTCACTCTATAAAGTTTCTTCAAATAAATAGTGCATAAATAGTAATTCATCTGATTTTTCTTCAGATGAATGGTAAAGAACTATTCATGTGGGCCATCCACATATTACATTGCAACACTTCCCCTTGGATGGCCATATGTCAAATTCAGTTACCTCGTTAAAACCTTAATTTGTTTTGATGCTCCCCCTGATAAGTATTTCCCATGATTTCAAATTCTTAGATCTGACTAATTACTAAGTTGATGTAATATGATACGATGCATGATAGTTGGAGCGTTTGCTTCTGAAGGTGGTTCGCATGCACTTCAAATTTTAATGGGCCACAAGTATTAGCCAAATACATTCATGACTAGCTTCATGAATATATGATTTTTGAGAGATATGAAGATGTAGCAATGAACCCTTCCTTGATCATTGCAGAATCAATCTATTTCCATATGTAAATGCAAATATTTTCTAAGAGCGATTTGTATGCAGACTAGAGAGATATTCAGATTTTGCTTGCTTAATAAGACCATGACTATTAGTGACTTCAATGGAATAGAATAAGCACAAGTCAATTATTTTTTGGAAACATCAATAGATAAACTTTACTTCATTTTAATACCCATATGTTGGTATTGTGTTAAATACATATGATTTAATGTATTATGTTAAATATATTAAGGCACTTACTTCACTAAGATATGGTACTTCTGGACCAAGTATCAATTCATTATTTCCCTCCCAAGGATGAATGATCTTTCTTAGTGTCTAAATATTGGTTAATTATTTGAGCATTCAACTCATGATCTTTAATCCACATAGTTTTTTAATATCACAAACATTTTGATGGATAAGAATCGTTTTGGTATATTGTTTGATCTGCAACTTGAGACAATATTCATTTCAAAACTTTATAATCTTTATAGACTCTTCAGGAGGCCCAATCTAATATCAACTCTTGCAAGAGATTTAGTATGTTGTAACAATATCATAATGATAGTGTTGACTAAGGCAATTTATGCCATCTATTAGTATTGAGTACATAATTTATGTTTTACCCTTGCAGGGTTTACCTTAAACAATTTGAACCCTTCAAGGATTTTCTACACTTCATGACACATTCTCCTTTGGATTTTATACAAGGCAATTTGCTTCTATGCATACTTGAGAGATTTGCTTATGGAGATATGCTTCAGGCATATATAAAATTCTTCATTGAAATTAACAAGTTTCATGATGAGAAATCATGTTTCTAGGAGTGTATTACAATTTCAGGTTTCAACTAGGAACCGTGTGTCATATATCATGTGAGTGAAATATTTCAATGTATTACAGATGTCCATATGTAACCTTCTGGGTTCAACATCATTTGGTGATTTTGTTATAGGTCTATTTTTCCACATTCTTACTAAATCGTAATGGAATTACCTTTCTCCATTCTGATCAATTATTTTTCTTTTTATCAACGAACAAAAAAACGTGGCTCAATATCAACATAGCTCATTGATGAATGTAGTAGCTACTCTAAAACCAAAATTAACATCGGTTATCACTAATTCGTGATCCCATAATTCTCACGTGCGTGCACATGCATATTTATAACATTTCATTACTTTGGATATCCTTGCTTGTTCAAGGGCTTTACATGTCTTTTCTAGGATAGTTATCTCTTATTTAATGAATTGTTTGGAGAGTTTGGATCATAACCTCCTGTAGAGCGTTATAGAGCTTAGATTTTTAATCTCCACTTCTAGAGAGTTGAATCATTAGAACCTATACATCGATCATGCTTCAGGCATAAGAAATGTTAAAATTGCCATCTCTTGCAGGCAAGAGCAAGGGCAAAAGGAAAAGACAAGGAAAAAACATGATATGAGATATTTTTGCTTTCGATCCTAAAGATATGAGATACTTTTGTTCTTGAAGAAAAAAAGTAGAGGGATTTGATGATACTGTAAAACTTCTTGATCAAATTTCTTGCTCAAAAAATGAGTTTGGCATTTTGAGGGACTTGGTTGAAAAGTTTTTCTCAGATAGAAGGAAGACTGAGTATTTTGTGAGACTTGGTTGAAGATGTATTCTTGACGAGGAAGAAAAGTTAGACATTTTGGAGCTCTGCCTTGCCATAGAGGACAGAGGTCGACATATATAGGGATTTCCTAAAAATAGTAGGTAGTGGTGCTGTTGGGACCATCCCCTTCACGTTTGTTGGCAACAGTGGTGTAGTTGGTACAGTAAAATCCACGCGTTTCAACTTTGTCAGAGATTTTTAGCAGAGTTGTCCTTGATATCCAGAAAAGCTGAGAATGCGAATAAGAAATGCCAATGAAATTAATTCAAGAAAATCTGGCTTTTGAACAAGTGGTCATGTTGCCTCTTCTTTTATAAAGGGATCAATTGTATCCAAAAGCACGCTCGAAAAGTTGCCCACCGTGAAAATTGCTTTTGTTGTATTTATGAGATTGTACTTTATATGACCTCTTTTTCTTTCATCTTTTTTGAAAATGGCTTGCCCATCTGACCGTTGGTTTGATTTGAATGTTGTCGAAAATGTATATGTGCTTCTTCAGTACAATATTTGGCACCCATCCTTCTTATCCTATAATGGTCCTCTTACGGTAAGGGACTCTGTGATGAAGAATGGTATAACTGCTGCAATAGTAGCTAAGAACCTTCTCACTCCCAAAGACAAAAGAATACTTTAAAAAAGGTCTGATGAATTAGTTGTTCAAGACTCTTTGGCTTTTAGTATTTAATGTACGAGTTCTATATCCAACATAGGCCAACATCTACTTACTCGAACTCGCCAAGTTGAATCATTAATGGTAGGTGGTAAGTCTTAGGCGAAAGATTAGAGGGGTCAAGCACAAGAATAGTGAATTGCACATACTTGCAAATAATTACTCAATGAGTGTGAAGAGAAAGCTCGACCAACTACAGGAATCTGAAAGTCAGATTCAAATTGACCATCAGAGGATTGTGGCTCTATTTTGAAGGCATCCATTGCTTCCACCGTCTGGAGTTCTACTAAGTAATGAGGCTTCAAATGATCAACCTCTGGTGTCTCTTCCTTCTAGAGTTCTGTCAAGTACAGAGGCTTCACATGATCAATCTCAAGTGCCTTCCACTAAGGCTTCACATGATCAATCTTTAGTGCATTCCCCTTCTCGGCTTCTGCCAATTATTGAGGCTTCACATGATCCGTCTCTAGTGCCTCCCTTTTCTAGGGTATTGCCAAGTACCAAGGTTTCACATGAGCAACCTCTGTGAAGGCTCCTCTTGTTTTGTTTGTTTTTGAAGTTGTAACTCATATGTATGCACGTGTGCGTACACACACACACACACACACACGTTCCCTTTCTTCTGGTTTTTTACATGCCCGAAACTTTTAGTTCAATTTGTTAAATATATGAAACTACGGAAACTTCTGGTTCCATTAATATGAATCAATAAAGAAACAATGAAAACTTCTAGTTCCATGAATATGATTCAATGAACTTTTAAGCCAAGATGTTTTCTAAAATCATATGCTTACATAGGAATTCTCAGGCTTCATGAATCCATGAAAATATTTGTTGCTTATGATGTTGATGGTAACAAAATCGAGTTTTGCTACGTTCTCCATTTTCTTATTAAGTTCACCATTTCCTTATTCCAAAAGGAAGAAAATGTGGTATAACAGAACTTGCGATAATTAACTCATACCATATAAACACATGTCTAAACAAAAGTGTTAGAACTTCGAGTTCTTCACATTATTTATATTTTGAACTTCAGGTCAAAACATTATACATATGTACTCAAAATTTATTCTCGACATTGACATCATTAGAACCTTTAGATTCATATTTTTGGAATTCATGTCCATACTTAATTTGTACATTGATTAAGGAACTTATTGTCACCATTTACATGAATCGAGGAACTTCTAGCCCTCATTTTAATTTAGTTAAGGAACTGCTGCTCTCTTAGTTGATTCAAAAACTTCAGGCTTTGATTTTTGATCAAGGAATTTCGGGTCCGATCTTTTTATGTGATGAGGATCAAGGAAATTTAGACCCGATCTTTTTTATATGATGGAGATCAAGGAACTTTAGGTCCGATCTTTTTATATGATGGAACTTTAGGTCCAATCATCTTATATGATGAGGATCAAGAAACTTCAAGTTCTAATTTGATCAAGGAACTTCGGGTCTTGTATATACTCATCATAACAAAAATGTAGTGCAATAAGAAAATTAAAGCAGATGGCGGCAATTCCAGCCACTATACATAAATTGCTTTAAATACGCAATGCTTGTGACAAAGGTTTTAATTCAACATCATTCACATAAATATCAAAAACTTAATGATAATAATTGTTAGGGTAAATTACACAAAACTACCTCAACTATATGTTGAATCACAATCTCATACCTCATGTTTTAAAAATTGCAATGTCATACCTTAACTTATGAATTTGTTGCAATGTCAGACCTCCGTTAAATTTTCTGTCAATTGGAATAAAAAAAAAAATTTAATTATTAATAAATTTTTATTTTTTATTCAACAATTAAAATTTTTGATTAATTTACTTAATAATTTAACAATTTTGAAAAAACAAAACACAATTTAACAATTAAAAATTAAAATCTCTCCTCCTTGCCCCTTAGAAATCGTCCCCTTCTCATTTCATGATCCCTACGCCAATTTCAGCACCAATGACAACTTCAGGTACAACTTCTTCAAATCCTCCACCTTATCCTCCGTCGCCTCCCTCCCCGAGAACCCCCAAATCTACGACCTCTCCGAGATCCACTCCGCCACCTCTAACTTCCTCTCACACCGCCGCCTCTCCTCCTCCTTCACCTCCTCCTCCTAGCGCTGCTTCCTTCGCTCCAAAGGTACTGTCATCTTCTAGCACAAATCCGGCTTCCCCATCTCCCTCCCCGACCTCGAGCGCCACCTCTCCCTCAACTCCAAATCCCACTACTCTAGCCGCATTAAGCTCCTAGGCAGCATTTACCTCATCTACGAATTTGTTGTCGGTGCTAACCTCTTCGACTGCCTCCGCAACCCGAAGAACCTGAGCTACACCATCCTGTCATCGTGGCTCTCCCAGATGTAGGTGGCTACTGACCTCACCCACAGCCTCGATTACTTCCACCATCCACGAAGGGGGACGATTTTTGGGGACAATTGTTATCCTCACGCATGATTCCTGGGGGTCGGTTGTTAAATTCTAAAATAAAAAAATTAATTTTTTACTCTAGTTAGAGAAGCAGTGAGCCTCGCTCCTACCATGTCATCAGTTAACACCCAAATTAACAGAAAATGTAACGGAAATCTGACAATGCAACGAATTCATGAGTTGAGGTTTGACATTGAATGTTTTATACATGAGGTATGAGATTGTGATTCGACCTATAATTGAGGTAGTTTTGTATAATTTACCCTAATTGTTATTATAAGAAGGGCGATGGTGCTGCATCATTCACATATATATTAATGTATGATGGGCGATTATTCCACTAATCATATTAATAACAATGATAAGGAAAAAGTAAATATTAACTTACTATACTTCCCCTTCTTCCTCTTTTGTCAACAGTTTAGTACATCTAAATTTTCTTTTCTTTTTCCCTAAATTAATGGCACCATGATTTCCACCTTTTAAATTTTGAATAAAAGAAATCTGGTGAGATTTTTGTACAAGTCTTAAGCTACTGTCTTTTGTGTCGACCTGTGCCACCTAACTTTGAATCACTTATTTTCTTTTCACATGCCATTCGTTGCTAATAATAATAGTTATATAATCAAATGTATATTTGCTTTAAGAAAATTAGTCGTACAGAAGTATGAAGATAAAGTAAAAAGATTTTCTTATCTGTGAGATTCTAGCCGACAGAGGTGGGAGGTAGTAGTGCTTTACCGGATTTATGGCGTTGTTTTTTTCACCTACATGAGAGATCTTCTTGTTGATAATGAGTTGTGAAATTGAGGATATGTGTGCAATGGAACATAAAGTAAATAAGACACAATATTTACGAGGTTCGGCAAATGTACCTACGTCCTCGGGCTAGCAGTACTACTTTCTCTCATTATCTGAAATAATAGGAGTACAATAATAACTCTCACTATTTGCTTTTCTCTTTCTAGCCCATCTCATTGGTAATTTCTTCCACATCTCTCTTCTTTCCTCTTCTCTTCTCTCTCTCTGATATTGAATTATGAGTTTACAATCAACGGATGAACCTCCTTTTATAATTTTTTTCATTTGAGAGAATAATGTAGCAACACTATTCACTTTATTCAATTTTTTTCAAATAATTAGCACATAAAGTAATCCATCTCATTTTTATTCAAATGAGTACTAATTTTCCCCAACTTTGAAAGTACGGGTAGTGAGTCTTAATTTGCACCCGTAAATATGGCTGTTTGGTTGCCCAGGCTTTCAAATTTGCTCATATCATTTGAAATGAACTTACCAAGAAGACTAAGCCAACTGAACCACCTCAACAACTTCACATCTTCTTCTCAATCCTTCACTGAGTTTTACTCTTCTCTGATTCAACAATGCATACACACAAGGTCCTTGATGGACGTTGGAATTGTTCAGACCCATATGATCAAATCCGGTTGCATTCACCTCTCTGTAGGCAACAAGCTCGTCGATGCGGGCTTGAAGTGTGGGAGCATTAGCTATGCACGCGAACTGTTTGATGAATTGCCCGAGAGGCACGTTGTCATATGGAACTCGATGATATCTTCTTATGTTGGCCGTAAAAAAAGTAAGGAAGCAATTGGTTTGTATGAGAAGATGGTATTGGATGGAGTTTTCCCAGATGAGTTCACGTTTTCAAGCGTTTTCAAGGCTTTTTGTAATCTGGGACTTGTGAATGAAGGGCGGAGGGCTCATGGGTTGGCAGTGGTTTTAGGTCTGGAGGTGTCGAACGTGTTTGTTGCTAGTGCTCTTGTTGACATGTACGTGAAGTTTGGGAGAATGAAAGATGGGCGGTTGGTGGCTAATCGTGTTGTGGATAAGGATGTTGTTTTGTTTACAACGTTGATTGCTGGTTACTCTCAGCATGGTGATGATGGCGAAGCTCTAGATGTTTTCAGGAACATGATCAAGGAAGGAATTAAGGCTAATGAATATACTTTTGCTAGCATCTTGATCTCTTGTGGGAATTTAGATGATTTATCTAATGGTAAAGTGGTCCATGGTCTTGCTATCAAGTCGGGTTCTGAACTCGCTGTAGCTTCACAGACATCACTTCTAACTATGTATGCTAGATGTGGATTGATTGATGATTCTCTAAGGGTTTTTAAAGGGTTTCTGAATCCAAACCAGGTAACTTGGACATCTCTTATTGTGGGTCTTGTAAGAAATGGAAGAGAAGAGTTGGCTTTGACAAAGTTCAGAAAAATGATCCGCAGTTCAATAGTTCCGAATTCTTTCACATTATCTAGTGCTCTTCAAGCATGCTCAAGCCTTGCTATGATCGTTGAAGGAAAACAAATCCATGCTATGGTCACAAAGTTTGGATTGGACAGAGACATATATGCTGGTGCTGCTCTTATTAACTTGTATGGGAAATGTGGAAGTACAGAAATGGCAAGGTCTGTTTTTGATGACTTAATCGAAATTGATGTGGTATCCATGAACTCCATGATATATAGTTATGCCCAGAATGGATTTGGACATGAAGCACTTCTACTTTTCAATGGAATGAAAGACTTGGGACTTGAGCCAAATGAAGTAACAATTTTGAGTGTTCTCTTGGCATGCAACAATTCAGGGTTGGTTCAAGAAGGCTGCCAAATCTTTGCTACTGTTACGAATAATCATAATATTGAGTTGACAGTAGATCACTATGCTTGCATGGTTGATTTGCTGGGGCGTTCTGGGAGACTTCAAGAGGCCGAAGCACTAGTGAAACAAGTCAGGAATCCAGATGTGGTATTATGGAGAACACTGATTAGTGCATGTAAACTTCACGGAGAGATCGAGATGGCAGAAAGAGCTTCTAATAAAATGCTTGAACTTGCTCCAGGTGACGGGGGTTCTCATATCCTGTTGACAAATGTTTATGCTTCAACTGGTAATTGGAGTCAAGTCATTGGGATGAAAAGCACAATGAGGGATATGAAATTCAAGAAGAATCCTGCAATGAGTTGGGTTGATGTAGACAGGGAGGTTCATACTTTCATGGCTGGAGATTTGTCGCATCCAAGATTGAGAGAGATAAATGAAATGTTAGAAAATTTGGCGGACGGGGTAAAAATTTTGGGTTATATTCCTGATACAAGATTTGTGTTGCAAGATTTGGATGAGGAGCACAAGAAGAGGTCTTTGCACTCTCACAGTGAGAAGCTAGCTATTTCCTTTGCTCTGTTGATGAGTAGTAATAAGGATACTGTTATCAGGATATATAAGAACCTTAGAGTCTGTGGGGACTGTCATTCCTGGATAAAATTTGTCACCAAAGTTGTTGGGAGAGAAATAATTGCTCGGGATGCCAAGAGATTCCATCATTTTAAGGATGGATTTTGTTCCTGTGGAGACTATTGGTGAATACAAATTATACAATTCAGATGTATACAAGGCTCCATTGTGTAGTTGTCGATTTTACTGTTAGATTGGCAAGGTTATTGATCTTGTCTTCTGATTGATTGGCTGTAACTAATCACTTTGAGTTCCCTGTGTGGGAAGCTGCTCCCACATGATTGATCTTCATCCTAGATAGGGCATTAGTGCTTTCTCTCGTTCTTGAATCGATTGGAATGAATACATATTCTCAGTATTTGAGTCATTCAAGGATGCTGGACATCAGGTATGTACTTAAATTACAAAATGATTTGTGGTTCCTAGTTGACATAGCAAAACTGATATGAAACCTTTATGGTTCCTAGTTGGAATAGTAATATTAATATGAAACTTAATTGCTATCCTAGAATTGTAGCAAAATTGATATGAAACTTAATTGCTATCCTCGATGTGTTTGCTAGGAGCGTATTACACCTATGGATTGATGACAAAATTCCTAAACCTTGTTTTCTAATTAACTAGTTGTCAGTTGATCAACAGTTGCATTTCAAGCTATAGACCAATTATTTTGTACACATGGTTGGTCTTCACTGCTAATTGCGGGTGAGGACCTCTGTAGAATGCTGTTTAATGTAGAGATTAGCCAATTGCCAATTGATTATACAGCTGCAAAGATGAGTTTCGGAAGAGTAATCATATGTTGCACACACCAAATGTGATTAAATTTTCAAACTAAAGAACCCCATTTATAAGCAGTAGGGTACATGAGTGAAGAACTCTCTGCGTGAAAAAAATTCTTCTGTTTGTTTCAAGTTTCACACCATGCATCCTTCAATATAATACAGTTGCTAACAACATAAGCACTAATTATGCACTGATTGTTCTATCTGATACCTAAATGGGTCTTGTACCATAATACATGAGCACCCCAAATATGCTCTGTGTAGTTTGGTTTTTGACATTCGTTTATTTTCAAACCAAGATAGCCAAAGCTGCGAATTTTATGAACAGTTACCATGGCAACAAAATTAAGTCCGCTTGTGCACTCACTTGAAGTGAAGAGCTTCTTTTGGCCTCCCCAACAGAGATAATACCGTGGCTGAGATATGCCTCGAGGACAGCCCTGCTTCTTCAAGCTGATCCTGTGGTGCTCCATGATCAATGTATCTATCAGGGAGTACCATTGCTCTCAACTGCAAAGAAAAATCCCAGAATTTTAGGGTCGACAAAGAGATAAGAGACTAAAAGAACAAAAATCAGTGATGTTATGAGAATAATAGGAAATATAGTACCTTGAGCGGTCCATCTAGAATACCACTTAAACTTAGGAAGTGGGATACATGAGATCCAAAACCTCCGATTGAACCTTCTTCCACTGTAATAAGAATTTCATGATCCCTAGCCAATTGCTTGATTAGTTCGGTATCCAGAGGTTTGCAAAATCGTGCATCGGCTACTGTAACAGATATGTCCCTGGTTTTCAGGTTGTTTGCAGCTTTTACACATTGTTGAACTATGGAACCATATCCCAAAATCGCTACTCTACTGCCTTCTATCAATATTCTTCCCTTACCAACCTGTTCAATATTGGTCAATGAATTTCAGCTATCTATTTTGTATACTCACTTAATAACTATGAATTTTAATACTAACCTCGAGTGCGGTTCCTTTGTTATTAGCAGGGAGAAGTGCTCCAATACCATTGCCTCTTGGAAATCTGAAGCAGCTAGGTCTGTCATCTATGGCTGCTGCTGTGGCGACCATGTTCATCAGTTCAGCTTCATCAGACGGAGCCATTACCACCATGTTGGGCAAGCAAGCCATGTATGTGATATCAAATGCTCCACAATGGGTGGGCCCATCTGCACCAACCAAGCCAGCTCGATCCATTGCAAAGCGGACAGGTAGTTTTTGAAGATCTACATCGTGAATCACCTGTATACCCATTATAAATCATTAGTGCCATATGAAGCAGTGATTTTGTCGAAAACTTTAGATTTGAAAAGTAAACTACATCACCATTCCTTTCTATCAACTCACCTGATCATATCCTCGTTGCAGGAATGATGAGTAGATAGCACAGAATGGCTTCAGACCTTCTGCAGCCAAACCAGCTGCAAATGTAACAGCGTGTTGCTCAGCGATCCCCACATCAAAGCAACGATCTGGAAACTTCTTCTGGAAATAATTTAGACCAGTGCCACCGCCCATTGCTGCATGAATGGCTACAATCTTGTCATCTATTTCAGCTTCCTTAATCAGTGATTCAGCAAAGTACTGGGTATACGAAAGTGTAGGGGATTTGGTCTTAAATTGCTTGCCGGTTTGTGGGTCAAACTTGACAACACCTGAAAATACAGGGAAATAAAATAAGGATCATCATAAGATTCCTTATCTGATCACTGGGATCATAAAGTTCTGACTCATACCGTGCATTTTGTCAGCTGCTGCCTCAGCTGGGGGATAGCCCTTTCCTTTCTCTGTCATGATGTGGATTAAAACTGGCCCCGGGGCCGGCATGGCTTTCACTCTCTGGAAAATAGTGACTAAGTCTGCAACATTATGCCCATCCACTGGACCGATATAATATAACCCAAGCTCCTCAAAAAGAGTGGATCCAGAAGCGCTTATCATTCCCCTTGTGTACTCGTCTACTTTTGCTGCAACTTCATGTGTTTGGCCTCCAATTTGCTTCGTAATACTCTTCGAAAGATATTTTTCATAGTCAGGTTTTTTTAAATAAGTTGAACAGGTCAGAATAGGAAGAATCACAATTTGCAAGATTAAAGGTTTACTTTTGCAGCCTCGCGAAGTTTGCGGAACTGGGTGCTTGCTTGGAGCCTGGTCAGAGCACTGCTGAGGGCCCCAACGGGCTTTGCAGGGCCATCAAGAGTGGCGGTGGGTAAGGAGACTTGCTTATTGTCATTCAATATGACGATCAGGTTAGAATCAAGGTACCCTGCGTTATTCATGGCTTCGTATGCTTGCCCTGCCGTCATGGCTCCATCTCCGATCACTGAAATGATATTGTTATTCTTCCCAAGTAGGTCTCTTGCCACTGCCATGCCTGTCATAAAGTTTTCGAGGAAACAAAAGTCAGATGAAATTCGCAAATTATCCATTTACTGTCTTGGACTTGTATTTTAAAGTCGAGATTGAAATGGGGTTCTCGGGTTGGGAGGTGGTTAAGGTGAGAAACAGGTACCTAAACCAGCAGAAATGCTCGTAGAACTATGGCCTGCACCGAAAGCATCATAAGCGCTCTCATCCCTCTTAGGGAAACCGGCAAGACCTGAAGTTTTCCTAATTGTGTGCATCTTGGACCTCCTTCCTGTAAGAATTTTATGAGGATACGCCTGCACAAGTAATTGCGTCTCAGAACTATTGAGTAGATCGGTACAATTCAACGTCTTTCGATCAATTACTCTAAGTTAAAACAGTATTTTCTTTTCAATCAAATTATTAATGAATGTTAATTTCTTGCACCTGATGACCAACATCCCATATAATCTTGTCGTCGGGCGTGTTGAACACATGATGCAGTGCCACTGTCAGCTCCACCACACCTAAGCTTGAACTGAGATGCCCACCTGACTGTGAAACACTGTAAACAATATCTACCCTCAGCTCTGCTGCTAGTTGTTCAAGATCCTGTAGAAAATGATAGCGTAGAAATCAACCACTACAAGAAAACAGGGCATTTGTGACGAAATTATATTATATGTAACTTGATCTGTTGTTTTAGAAGTGAGTTTATTATCTGTGTTGCCAGCCTACCTCTGTGGAGAGATTCTTCATGTGAGCTGGGTAATTGACTGTGTCCAGCAATGGCGTGCCCGGTTTTTCACCAGAGAAATCGATCTTCCATCCATCCTTTCCTTTTCTGATCAACTTGCAGTCCTCACCATCTGAGTTACCAGCTGAAGCCTTAACACAAAGCTGCCACAAATGATAAAAAAATAAAAAAATAAAAAAATAAACCATTGAAGCATCAGAAGAAACCATTCATGAATATATCCGAAACCCGAAAACGAAAGCAAAAAACAAAAGGGAAACGCGAAGAAGAACACAGCACGATAATATTGACATGTAATATTATTATTCCACTAAACCTGTTGCCTGCAACTGTGATTCAGTTTTGGAGCTGGAGGATTGAGGCATGAAAACAGGTACTGATTTGGTCTAATGAATACGCCGGAGACTGCCATTGCTGACCGAACACAGCTCGGAGGAGGAGGAGGAGAGGAGATTGGGAGAATTATGAAGACACGGAGAGGGGACAAGAAACAAGGTTATATAGTTGGTGATGCAACGGAAGAGGCACCTACGTGGCAAACATAATACAGTTGCTCTACTGTTTCCGTTTAATTGAAATGACTGCTAGTATTCTACCCAAATTTTCTGGTCGGCACAGTTGCAAAAGTTACTCTCCACAACCTTCTCTACGTACTTACGTATTTCATTTGGGCGACAATCCACAATTGAGCGCCAAAATTTCATATTTGAGACCCAAGGATAAATGGGAAATTTTAAGTGTGACATCCCATATCGCCCAGTGGAGGGATCCTTAAATGTATATTCTCATCTCTACCTAGCACAAGGCCTTTTGGGAGCTTACCGGCTTCGAGTTCCGTAAGAACTCCGAAGTTAAGCGAGAAGGGGGCTAGAGCAATCTCATGATGGGTGACCCTCTAGGAAGTTGTTCGTGAGTTCCTAAAAACAAAACCGTGAGGGAATGGTAAGCCCAAAACAGACAATATTGTGCTACGGTAGTGGAGCGGGCCTGGGGAGTGATTCATCCCAGGCTGGGATGTGACATTAAGGGGATAAATAAAATTATGTTCAAGGATTTTTATTAATTTTCTGAAAAAAGGAAGATGATTTTTCGTTTCCGTTTTCTTAGAAAAAGTCTTTATGGCGAACCTCTTTTTTTTTTTTTTTTTTTTTTTTGCATTGCATGTGTAAAAACTAATGCATTGGTAGAAGAAATTAACATACATTTCTACACCAGTCATATCTGTAACAGGTTACAACAACAACCATGTCTTATTTCACTAAATAGGATCGGCTATATGAATCTCGTGGGGTTTGATTATTAGTTGTGAGAATGTGGTGGAAGATGCGCTTTCTAGGATACAAGGAGGAATTCAAAATACCTTAGTGGAGCCTTCTTGTGGCTAAATGCAACATCTGCCAGCAAAATAAGGATATTAGGAACTTTGTGGCTATTAGGAACTTTGGCAAGCTATAAAGAAGGATATTAGGAACTT